AAAAAAAGAAATGCACACACGCGGGCCGGCAAGGACCGCTAACTAACTACTGTGACAAAATGTTCCCATTTGCTGGTCGCGTCTAGCTGGACAAAGCGCCTTTGGCTGGCTCGGCCCGCCCAAGTTCTGGCACTATCAGGGCACGGATGGCGTATTATTTGGTGGGTCCAGAACCGAATCGCGCAGCCCTTTGAAAAGACCACACTGTTGGTTCTGCGATCTTGGCGAACAAATCTCCAGTTGTCTAGTGGTACTTCTATGGCTGCTTCCGTTTCAACATGTACACCAATTTACAACGGAATCGCCTTTTTTCTTGAAGGGCCACTGAACAACTGGGAATCAGGCGGTGTTTAGCGTGTAACATTTCCTGAAAATAAAACTGCATGTTAGCCCCAATTCAGCTGGTGGAGTCTGCAAGGGGGGAGGGGGGGTGTAATCAACGATTCCCAAGGCCCTGATCTGGCCTGCTAATTGTCACTGTACCAACTTGGGGCCAATATGCTAATTGGCAAAACATATTGCTCACCATGATCAACAAATGACCCGAGAACTTGGATGTGAGTTTGTCTGAAAATTGGAGATGCCGTTTCTGGTTGGTTCTAAAAGGATACCAAAAGGAAAAAAACTTCTCCCGCATGCCCATGACACTCACTCCAGGCACGCACTCGGTCTGACAACCTTTTGTCTGTGATTAGCTACATCTCTGGCTTCAATCACGCAGAATTCGGGTGAAACTGAATACGTTGTACCAAAAAGCCCTGAGACAAAGAAGAGACAACGCTTTCTGGGCTCATCGTGTCACGTTGGGCCAGTGAGCGGGACAGGCAGCCGTCAAAGATTTGCCCAGAAAACTCTGAATCTCGCTCGCAGTTAGATACTTCCACCGCTGCCTTTTCAAGTCACGGGTGGTGTCCGGTGCCTGGCCACGGAACAGCAAGCCCAGCATGCCAAGTGGCATATCCTTCTTCGGGCAGTCGCTGCCTAGTTTGGCTTGCATGCCCCTCACCACCCAATCGGCCGTTGCATCCTGTTGATAAACCCACATGGCGTCAACCATTTCCGTTTTTGCATAATTGGGCGACAGCACCGCTATGTAGGGGTATGTTTCGATCAGCTGCTCCTTCCACCAGGCCAGTATGACTTCTGGGTTGGTAGAATTCTCCTGCGGCACCTTTCTCACATATACAGCGGCGGGCCGAGCGTTTTCTGGCAGTCCCAGCAGCTCGTGGGGCTTGCTGTACATGGCTTCATGGCATCGAAGGCACAGAGCGACCAGAACAGCGGTCTCCCAGTCCTGGCCTCTTTCAACCTTTGCCGACCAGCGCGGGATTTCGTCGATCCATTCCCCAACCTGCTTCCATTTCAGGTGGCAGCACATCCGTCCCACGTAGGCGAGAATCCACCGGATCTGGTTCTGGGCTGGGGATTCGGTGAGGGCATCGAAGGCACGCACTGGATCGTCGTCTGGACCCCGCCTGCCAGTGAAGAACTCTGCCAGGAAAGACTCTGCCAGGATTGGGAGCTCCTCCGATTTTGGAAGACGTGCGAGAGCCCGGAACCGCCCGTCAATGTCGAAGACCTGCGTCTTGACCGAGAAGATCAGGGCTGGGACGTAGCCTAAGTAGACGGCCTCCAACGGTGTCAAGGCATCACAGGCTGGATGCATGGCCCTTAGCTGCTCCATGTCCGCGCACCTGGGCATGGGTATGGTTTCTGCCTCACGAGAGCTCCCCGCGCCATTGCCCAAGACCTGGTCGAGGCCAGTGCTGGTGGGGATGTGCGTGCTGAAGACAAGGTGTCGTCCAGCAGGGTCAAGGAACGTCTCCCGCAGGAACATCCCCACATCTTGGTAGTTATCTGCTTGATTGGGTTTGAGCAAGACGTTTAGCTCGTCCACGAGCAGGACGACGTCCTTCTTGTCCTCCAGATATTCCTTCAAGGCTTCCTTGCTGCAGCGCACCCGCTCGGCCTCTTCCCTGTTCGCGGGCTTGTTCTTCATCAGGGCAACAGCGATGGCCCGTAGCATTGTGTGTAGTGGCTTCTCGTCATCGAGCCTGTGGATGAGCGAGTCCCCATTGAAGCTGATGAAGATGGGTTGTGTTTTGGTCGCTTTCAGCTTGTCAAAGACCTTGTAGAGCATTGTCGTCTTGCCACCACGCATGCATCGGGAGAGCATTGCTGGAGGGACTCTCACAGTCGTTCCTTCTGTTTCCTTCGGCAAGTGCTTCATGACAACATTGACGCAATTCTCCACGCGGACATCGAGATCCACAAATTTGTCAGGCTGCACTTTGATGTCGGGCCGAGCGCATGCATAAAGGTCGAAGTCCTCGGCTGTGACCTTCTCAATGACCTCGAAAAGGACGACAGAAGGGCAAAGAGAAGATATCGAACTGGAAGAAATTGAACATGGCAAACCAGCGCTCGAATAGAAAGCAATTGAAAGGCACAAAACCATTCATCACAGAGCAGGGAACGCTGACAACAAGACAAAACCATTCAGGAGAAATAGCACATCAGGATGGATACTAAGCTGGGGATGCTTGGCAAGTTCAAATGTCGGTTCCGACGGAGCATCCTCCTTTCAATCAAACTAGCAGCACCGTGCTCTTGCAGGCTTGAAAGGACAAAAATCAAAGCACGCATAACATAAAAATACATATCGGGATGAAGGCAAAAAAGGAGTTGCCACCCGTTTGCAGGGCTCCACACGGAGTTCAACCACGTCCGCAACAATGCTGTTAACGTACTCTGTGGATGCGATGAGGGCAGCCTTCTCCACTAAAAGCATGTTCAGCTAGGGGAAACAATGAAACAGGGACAACACGGAGCAAACGTGACACATCAGCCGAAACAAAACACCGTACAATCGAGCAGGAAACCATCCGTTCATGCGGCTCCACACCGAGTCTGCCAACAATGCACAATGCAGCCAGCTGAACAGGACGCGCTGCAATCTGCGCAAACGCAATCTGCGCAAGCGCAATGTTGGGATTTCCTGGTTCTGTGGATGTGATCATGGCAGCCTCCCCACAGACAACATCTCCGTAGGGCTGGGGAAAATACATCAATCAAAAGCACACACACAAAGACCAACTGCACGTCTCAAAGAATGTCAGCCAGCAGAAGCGAACGACCTCCCCGAATGGCAAGGAAGTGCAACCATCGATTGCCTCCACACTGTTTCGGTTCACGTCTGCCAACAATGCGGCCAAAAGCATTTCCAGGCTGCGGGGGAATTTCAAAACCACACACGACGACCCACTGCACGTCTCAGAACAAAGTCAAGAGCAAACGATTTTCCAGCCGTGCCTCCTGCAACAGCCGGATCTTCTCGTCCAGAAGCTCCGCTGGGCCCCGTGCGACTCCATCTGCCATCAGCTTCTCCAGCGTGAGCCGCAGCAAAGCCTTGCCTGTGACGCCCTGCTGCTGCAGTGTCGTCACCGTGCGCTGGATGAGCTCATCTCTCACCTTGCCCTCGTTCAGCACCGCTTCGGCCCAGCTCAGAACCTCCTCTTCGCCAAAAGCCTCCACCTCCTCGCGGCTCTTGGCGAGCCAGTCCTGCCAGCACTCACCAACAACCAAGCCTGGCGCATGCGAGCCCCCGGCCTCCGCACCACTGTCCTGGCACGATTGCAACCGGCCAAATTTACAACTGCTGATTGGAGCGTCCTGCTGCGGGCTGGCGCGCGAAGCAACTCCGCCACGCCCAGGGTGCCAGCTTGTCACCTCAAGAGCTGAAATTTAGGCAAAAAAATCACATCAACGCCGAGATCTGGACCTGTGCCCTGTGGGAATCCTGGCGGACCAATTGCACCAACTCGACTCACACACCCCAGCTGTGCGCACGAACCGACGGCCTCTTCCAAGCCCTTTTTGGTTGCTTTGGCCTGCGTCGCACGAAAACCGCTTGCGAATCTCAGACAAAGCACGCAGTCCTGCCTCCTCCACAAACTCGCGCAGTTTTTGTTGCAACTCGTCTTTCTTCCCTGAAAGGGTCCACTTCCCTGGATATATCTTCTGCGCTTTTCCTGAGCTCAACACTTTCACCGCTCTTGCAACCCCGACCCACGTGCTGCTCCAGCGGCGCAAGACGGCTTTGGTCTCTTTCACCGTGCCGTTGTCCTCCAGCACCCTGTCGGCTTCTGCGACCACCTGAGCGAGGCCAAGCTGGGACGTCGCTTTCTCTGAAGGTCCGCCGCCTCCTCGAGATCGCGCCGGTCCTGACAACCAACAAGCCCAACGTTCAAGCCCGATGCACGTGTCCCCCAGGCCTGGCCACTGTTGTCCTGGCGGCAACCGGCAAACGATGCGAACAGGCTTCGGGTCGGAGGAGTCCTCTTGCGCAGCCCCGGCGCGCCGAGCGACTCCGGCATGCAACGGGTGCCGTTTTGCCTGAAAGAGCCAAAGTGCAATCTGCTTGCGCCTGCGGGCAACTCTGAGAACTGGGCCAATATGCTGTCCTGGCACTCAGCACGAAACAACCAAAGGAGGGACTTCATGCTCCTTCAGCCCAGGAACTCCTCGAGCAAAGTCCTGGGCGGCGACAAGGGACTCCTGAAACCCGAAAACCTTCGGGAAAAATATGTGTCCCAAGACCCAGGCCGTGCTCGGCTGCACGAGCAGCGCCAATGCGATCCCGAGAAGGCAGAGGCACATACCTGGCCGCTGCCCACCGCGGGCACGGTAGCGTCACAAGCTTGCCAGCCTCGGCTTTTGGTCCTGGTCCGCATCATCGCCATGGCTATTCGAAAAGCGCTTGAGCGGCCTGCGATTCCTCAAGCACTGGCACTAGACCTATCGGGCAACCATTGCGAGCTGTTGTTGTGTCAGTGTTGATGAGTACCCTCGAGCCAAGTTTCCAGAGCAAACACAAGATTGACTGGCTTCTTTGGCAACACCAACGCACGGGTTTGGATGCTCCTCCTCCTTTTCACTCGCGGCCTGAAGGTCGGTCGGGCCAAGCCTTGCAAGGCTTCGCAGCGTCCATCCGTCAGAGACCCACATCCTGCCGCTGCATCAAAGTCCAAGCGAGATACCAAACTGGCCTGCCTGCAAAACAAGCAACCGAAATCGGCACCGCGGAAGTCACAAGCTGTCGTGCCCTGGAGGGCGGGGGTTTCAGGGGTCTCTGAAAGTTTTGAGGTTTCTGGGGCGCCTGGCGTTGCTGGGGTCCCTGAGGTTCCTGGGGTCCCTGGATGAGACGCTGTCAGAGGCAGGCATGGCTGCACGCGGAGCGCCAAGCTGCAGGCTCCGCCAGTCCTCCACGGACTCCTCCTGCAGGAGGCGTCCCAACGCCTCCATGCGCTCGGCGTCAGTGCGGCTCTTGGCCTGCGCCATCACTGCGTCGGCCACCTGCAGGGCCTTTGTGTCACCGGCCAAGACGGCGGCCTGCAAGTCTTCCCAGTCAGACTTGGCCGGCTCGCCGTCACCCTCACGCTTGCCGCGGGCAAGGTTGCCGAGCCGCAACTGCATTGAAGGACATAGCAACAAGATCCACAAGCAACTTTCAGATTTCAGCCAAAATCAGCTTCGCAAGCCCTCACATCCAAAGTCTGATCAACTCGTCTGCCAAATTCTGACCAACTCCTCTGAAAGTCACATGTGCACATGCTGCTGCTGGAATCTGCTGGGCACCAGGCGTCTTCTGCTCGCCCGGCCTGGGCCGACGAGCGTCCCTGGGGTCTTTGGGGTCCCTGGGGTCCCTGGGGTCCCTGGGGTCCCTGGGGTCCCTGGGGTCCCTGGCATCCCTGGGGTCCCTGCGGTTACTGGGGTCCCTGGATTTTCTCGAATTTGCGGTGGGCAGTATCTGAAGCACCCAAGGTCCCTGGAGACCCTGGGGTTTGTGGGGTCCCTGGGGGTTCTGGGTGGGCCCCCCTCAAACAAATCCGCAAGCATGCTGCTGCTGGGGCGACGAGCGGGGTCCCTAAAATCCCTGGTCCCTCTGAAAACCCTGGGTACCTTTGCGGGGGTGTTAAATCCGGCTTCGAAACTTGGAATTACATTCTTGTGGGATGGTATCGCTCGAGCTGAGAGCTATCAATAGATTCCTTTGTTCCATTCCTGGGAAGGGTGTTCCTTCTTGAGAGGGTTCCTGTGAAATCTCGTTTGCGGATTCCCCTGAACAACCAAGTAATAATCTAGTTGCAGGCTTTTTGAATATGACGGCACCAGGGACCCTAGGGACCCTAGGGACCCTAGGGACCCCGGGGACTCCGCAGGTCTTGGAAGGGGGGAGCCTCTGGGAAGTGGCGTGCCTTGAACCTCCATTGAACAAAGTCGTTCTGCTACGCAAACCAAAGCAACGTAGACTATCAGTCTAAAAATCTGCAAATCTAGAAATCTAATAATGTAAAGGTCTATAAATTAATAAATCTACAAATCTAAAAATGTATGAATGTATAGATCTACAAATCTAGAAATCTAATAATGTAAAGATCTATAAAATGATAAATCTACAAATCTAAAAATCTATGAATGTATAGATGTACAAATCTAGAAATATAATAATATAAAGATCTATAAATTGATAAATCTACAAATCTAAAAATGTATGAATGTATAGATCTACAAATCTAGAAATAAAATAATATATAGATCTATAAATTGATGAATCTATGAATGTACACAAATAAATAGATCTGTATCTACTGAAACCGATACATGATCAAAAACCACTTCACAAGTCGCTTCCAGCAAAAAACCTGCAATTGACCGCAGGAATGTTCGTTGCACCCCACCTTGTCACCCCAGGTACCACAGGGTGTCCCCGGGTCCCTAAGGTCCCTAGGGTCCCTGGGGTCCCTGGGGTCCCCTGGGGTCCGCAGGGTTTCCAACAACGCTTCAGATTGACGGATGCTTGCGTCAAGAACGCTAGGGAACCTTCAGGGACCCCAGGGACCCTAGGGACCCTAGAGACCCACAAACACAGGAAGATCCACGTGGCCTCACCAGGTCAACTTGGCAAATTGGACCAGACCCTGAAAACGCCGCGCAACCTGCACAGGAGTCCTGTAGAAAGAATTGTGGATCCACCTTGCAAGCGGCCAAACAAAATGTGAAAAAAAAAAAAAGGCAACTCCAAAGGGCCGCACCGCGAGAAGATCTGCACGTCGCAGTGGATCCGGCACCTGGCATGTGACGTGATTGCTCGGCGGGTCAAACATAAAGGGAGCCTGACCGACGGTGAGTTGAGCAAGAGCCTCACGGATCACCTCAAAAGATCAGCTGCGCTTGGCGACGGCAACGGAAACAGCAAAAGGTCCGGGCAATGTAGATCCCGCGGTTCAACAAGCCTTGGCACGAGAAGCAAGGCTTGGCGAGTTGGGCCCAAACCTCCAAGATCAGTTGGGCTTGGCAGTGACGGCGCAAACAGCCAAGCGAAGGCCCAGGCGGTAGATCTCGAGGTCAAACAAAGCCTGTTGCGGGACGCCGTTCTCCAACTCCACATGGCCGGCACACTGTACGTGGGGTCGAAACCACGTCTTGCACCCGCGAGCGGTTCCCCCCCCCACCGCCCCGGACCCAAAAGTGTCCCCAAAAGGCTGCGGCAAGTGCTCACACCTGACAACGTAAAACCGTGAGAAACAACAGCAAGAACCTGTCATCTTTTTGTGCGCAAAACCCGTGCAAAAACAGAGTTTCCGGAAAAAATGACACAAAAATACCCCTTTTCCGGAAATGGCCCTCGAGCCGCTTGAGCTGGGGCCGACACTTTGGTCGGACCGTTTGTGTTGTCCGCCGTATAAGAAAAGAGACCGGCAACCCAGTCAAATTAACTGCCATCGCCAGCAACATGACAGTCGAGGAGGTGCAGACCTCCCCCAAGGGAGCCAAGTCGGCGCCCTTGAGGTGCGAGGGGAAGCCCATAGCTTGGACCCACATGCTGTGGGAGCCCAGCAGCTTTGGCGAGGACCAAGGACCCAGGCAGAACGTGTGCCTTGCCATGGAGAGAGGCTCCGAGGCCTGGGGGGCCTGGGATGACTTCGAAAAGAAGTGTCAACGAGCTGTCTTTGCGGTCCAACCGCATCTGGGGCGACTGCGGTGATGCAAAAGACAGGTGGCAGAGCTGCCTCAATTAGTCCTGGCAAGGCGCCACCTTCCTGAAGTGCAAGCTGGACGCACGGAACGTCCGTTTCTGGGACACCGACGGCAACAAGATCCAAAGGCCCGAGGCCCTTGCCGGCTGCGAGTGCCAGGCCCGCGTCGAGGCCAGGCAAGTCTGGATCATGGGTAAGGGGTGTGGTTTGTTGGAAGTGAGGGATCTACAGGTGAAGGGCGGGGACTCCTGTCCATTCTAAACCGGCGTTCTTTTGGTCGTGGATTGCCGACGTAAAAGAACACGCCCGGAAAAACCCGCCGAGGCGTGGAGAGAACGGACCGGGAGATCCCAGGCACCTCAGGGACCCCACCAGGGATTTCAGGGACTTCAGGGACCTCAGGGACTCCGGGGACCCCAGGGACCCCAGGGCACCCAGCACACCCAGGACTGACAGATGAGACTGCAAGCACCACACAACTTGCCGAAACATGTTTTTTGTGTGAAAAATAAGCACATTTGGCACGCGCACGCACGCAGACGCGCAAAAAAACTGCACATCACATAGTTTGCTTTGTTGCCCGTGTTCCCCCAAAAGCATCCTGTTTATTCCCCTGTTCCCAAAAAAAAAACATAAAATGGCGGCCAGGGAGCCTGTCGTCACATGTGGCCAGCATCTGTGGCCAGCACCTGTGGCCAGCACCCAGCCACAGCGCGGATCCAGCTGCCTGCTTGGCAGCCTTTTTGGCGCTTGCTCAGCGCCTCCGCCGCTTGCTCCGTGGCCCCCGCCAGCCAATCCCTGGCACCACCCGATCGCCTGCTGCCGGCAAAGAAAGCTGTGCTCTGCGCTTGCTCACCCTTCCCTCACCAGCCGCTGCCCTTCAGCCCCCGATCGCGTTTTGCGGCCGGTGTGGGAAGGTCTCTCATCAAAAAAACAAGTCAGGGCAATATGCCAATTTTTCAACTGTGAGCCCTCGTAGACTTTCCATGTAAAATCGTACACGCGACGACCCAACCTTTCGCCGATGGACTTGCCGATGTGCTACAGGGCACGGTTCGGGGACACCTCAACCTACCTGGGGGGGCCTGGGGATCAACGCAACATCACGGGGGTCAATGGCTGGACGCGGGCCCGGGCCGAGAAAACCTCCTCCATGATGTCCGCGGGCTACAGGTAGCTCTTGCCAGGGCAGCTCACAGCCGAGGACCCGTCTGCCATCCGCCGTGTCCCTGGCCCTCGATCCGGCCTCGGCCGCCTCCCTGATGTGCTCCCGTTGCCTTGCCCAGGATGCCATTGTCGGGTTGCTTTGCTTAGGCCGGCCACAAAAAGTCGTCCGAGCAAAAAAAACTTGCATGAAAACTGGTGCGAACTTGTGTGCACGCGCGCGTTTTTGTTTTGTGTTGCGCGAGACCCCAGGCAGCCGGCTGACTACGTGCTGCTTCAGAACGGGCAGCGGGGCCTCGTGCGCAGGCTCCAGAAGGACGGCAGCTACCAGCTGACGAACCTCGGGCGGCGGTTTTTCAAGGACAAGTACTCGCAATACGTGGCCCACATCCCCGCGGTCATCCGGGGCACCCGAAGGTCGGGCAGGAAAGCCGGCAAGCCCTACGAGCGCAAGGACTGGCTGCCCGCGAACATTCTGGGCGGACGCCTGAGCCGGCAGCCCGACGGCTGCGCAGATCCTCCGCAACGTGAAGGAGCAGACACTGCGGCTTGTGGCTGCGGGGGACGAGGAGCGGACCCTCAGGTTCACGACGGGCTCGAACGTGTCCGCGCCACAGGCCCGGGCGCCGCCGGGCAAGGTACTCCAGACGTTGCCCAGCCGGTCCAGGTGCGGAGCCACAACTTACTTCCCATATACTTCAGCTGCATGCCGCCTTTAGGTTCAGGGGACACGCCTCCCAGAAAACTCCATGTCTCCCGGACTCGCTGCCCGGCTTCCCGTCTTCGAATTTGGGCGTTCGGACCCGCACAGGCAACCCGACAAAAATTAGACGGGGATGCTCATGCGGTCTGCAAGCTCCACAGTTGCCTCCTGCGCGATCTCCTTGCAAAGCTCCGCTGGAATTGCGTAAAGCAGTTCGCGGGATTGCCCGCGCTTGTGGACCAGCGATGGAGGCCAAGCCGCGGGCTCTGCAAACCCGGCAACCGTTGCGCAGCCTGGGAAGACGGAAGGCGCCGTAGAGCAGCGCAGCGGGGGCCGAGGCTCGTGGGAAAGCAACACGAGCGGGCACGCGTCTGCTTGCGGCAGGGCGTTCCGTAGGTAACGTCGACGTAGGGGAGCCGCAGCATGAACGGACGGCTCTTCAGAAGCTCCGTCTACGGGTTCTCAATGGCCCACATGGGCACCGCGCTACTTGAGGCGAGACCCGGTCTTCCTGCGCTCCCTGGCGCGCCTGGCGGGGCGCGACGTGGACAGGCACTTCTACTTCAGGCGCCTCCTGCCTGCTGCGCAACACCTTCTCAGGAAAGTGGGGCTCCTTCGCACGGCAGCAGCAGCCACTCTCTCTCTGTAGAGGGGTTTCCCAAATGGATTCTATTCTACCTGAGAGGCTCCTAGCACTCGTCCGTCCAGGAAACGACCTCGTCCTGCGAAGGATTCGAAGTCTAAAACGCTGCGTGGAGGCGTGTGGCTGCAAAATAACGACCCCTAGATATGCTTGCAACGCGCCCCGTAGCTGCGTTTCTGCAAGGCGAGCCAAAAAAAAGGGTCCAAGCCAGCTGACGAAGAACTGGGCGGGCTGGAGCAAGCCGCAGATTACAACAGCGCGGCCTCCGACAGCGGCCCGGAGCTGCGGCTGCGGGCAACCAGAGCGCCAGGGTCTTCCTGGAGCGGGTGGGACGCACCAGTGCGAGCTCATCATGATCAACGACAAGGCGCGGCGCAGACGAAGAGCCTCTTGACGCAGCTGTCCTTGACCACAAACCAGAGGAACCCAGCTGCCTCGTGATCGCAGGCAACACAGCGACGGCACGGAGATGGTCACCCTCGACTACTCTCACCTCTGTGCAAGGGCTTCCAGGCCCGGCTGGACAAGGTGGAAGCCTGGCAGGCCCAGCGGGGGCCGAACCCATAAGAAACATGGCTGACGCCCGCAGACAAACCATCAAGGCCGTCTACAAGGATCCCCGCACCGGTTTCGACAGCATAGCGCAGACGCTGCAGCAGGCTCAGGTGCGCGACTCCAGCATCTCCAGAGAGAGGTGAAGGCTTTCTGAACGGCCTCCGGGTGAACCAAGACCGGCCGCAGAGAGGCTACAACAGCTTGCGCCTGTGGAGCCCGTGAACCAGCTGCAGGTGGACCTGGCCAACATAGGCCTTCGGGGGCAAGCCCTCCCCTTTATGCTGGTGGCCATCGATGCCGCTGACCAAAAAAGTGGCCGCGGAGCCGTGAGGACCGTCTTGCAACCACCACCGCGGCGGGCGTGAAGAAGGTGTTCCAAGTGCCGGCCAACTCCAACGACGGCTCTGAGTTTGAGAGGGAGTTTAAGAAGCTGATGGATTTCTGAGACATCGAGAAGCAGGTGACCAGAGGCCACGCCCACTTTGCGGAGCGCACCATCTGCACCATCAAGGAGGTCATGTTGCGTCGCATACGCCGGAGCGGGCCGGCGGGGCCAGTGGAATGTTATGCTGCCGCCTACTCTGACCGAAATGGCAGAGTTTGCTCTGGCAACATGGCGCAGGGCCAAGCACAAGGTGACCGCCCGGAAATCAAGGTCGGGGATATGGTTCGGATCAGGGAAAGCCGATCGAAAGCAGGGGCTCCTACAGGGTCAACAAGATAGCCTGGAGGAAAAAGGTATACAGGGTAGCCTCCGAGAGCGGGATGGGGGCGACCTCACCGAGCAGATGCTTGTTGAGAAGGCGGCGCGGTGCGAGCGCTCGGCCTCAAGCAGCGCGTCTTTGCAAAGGCCGCTTGGTGGAAGGCGCTGGGCCATCTGAGCAGCTGCAAGGCAGGGCCCACGCGTTTCCAAAAGCCATGTCTCACGCATTGGAAGGCCTTGGAGAAAGTTATGATAAGCGGCTGCGCGGGTTTTTTTCACCAGACCACCCGCTCGCGAAAATGTTCGTTCTCTTTCTTAGAACCTTGACGCGGCTCCATTCCCAGCGGAGAATGTCGATGCCTCCAGACGACTCGGAGGGGTTCTGGCCTTGTGGAAACGCCCAAGACACCGCAGCAAGGCTTCATAAGCGTTGCCCATCCAAGTCGGCGCCCGCACGCTGCAGCTCCCCAAGCTATGATGGAGAAGGCCACTCCTCCATATGAGACTCTTCCCGAAGATGAGGGCTCTTCACGGACACCGACTCTGTGATGGTGCAACCTTTGCAGGGCTAAGAAAAAACAAAAAAATGGAAAAAGGGGTCCCAAAAAAGGGGTCCCAAAAAAAAGGGGAAAGGGGTTTCCTTTGGCAAAGCTTGACATCGCTTGAAATGCAACCTGGAGCCAAATTGCGGCGCATATCTAGGGGTCACTATTTTGCAGCCATACGCCTGCACGCAGCGTTTTAGACTTCGAATCC